CATCCCTCCATCCATTCCTCCATCCACTAGTCCGCCCATCCACCCATCCATCCCTCCATCCATCCCTCCATCCACTAGTCCGCCCATCTATCCATCCATCCATCCATCCCTCCATCCATCCCTCCATCCACTGGTCCACCCATCTATCCATCCACTCATCCCTCCATCCATCCCTCCATCCACTAGTCCGCCCATCTATCCATCCATCCCTCCATCCACTAGTCCGCCCATCTATCCATCCATCCCTCCATCCATCTCTCCATCCACTAGTCCGTCCATCTATCCATCCATCCACTAGTCCGCCCATCTATCCATCCACCCCTCCATCCATTCCTCCATCCACCAGTCCACCCATCTATCCATCCATCCCTCCATCCATTCATACATCCATGCATTCATCCATCGAGGTACATTGTATCTCTCTATCTATGCATCGCAATAGCCAGCTATCTATTCATCCAGCCAGTAATCTACACAGCCCTGAAGCCAGAGACCCAGCCCTCCAACCATCCAGTCATCTGTCAGTCAGACTTCCCACCCTCTAGCTTGTCCGTAAGTCCATCCACTACCTGTCGGCAAGCCTGTCAGTCTGCCAATACATCTACTGTAAAACCTGTGACTAACGACCACCCCTTGGTGCCAGAGAAAGCGGTCTTTAGTGGCAGGTGGTCCTTAGTTAGAGGTTTGCACCGCACAACCATAATTAATATGAATGTGAGTCCGTCCGTGCCTGGCGAAGTGGTCTGTAGTACCAGGCTGGTCGCTAGTCACGACATTAGGTTGCAAGTGAAGAGCTGAGATGCAGAACCTGATACGGGCAAATCTTGTGAAAATCATATTTTCAGCTTAGTGTCATTAATAGGTCTCGGGGCAGCACCAGGAAAAATGTCACACTCTAATACTTACAGAGAGAGATGTGTTGAAGAGATGTGTTGAGGATGTGTTGAAGCTAGGTGTCAGGACGTCGAATGTCTCAGTACTCTGTCAGTTTTGTGCCTAGTTGCTGCACTTTCTGACTGTATAGTAGTTACAGTGATGGAAAGTTACTCTCAACTCGTATCTATATTTCCTTTTCCTTTCTACATCTAATACTTACTACGCAAGAGGTACACAAAAGGAAGTATATAGGGCTGTTTTTTGTTGTAACTCAGAGTTTCAAGGCAAAAACCAATCATCAGACAACAATACTTACTAGAACCATTTCAAAATAGGAACCCAAGTATGGCTTAGCCCAGGCCCACGGGTACACACCCAGGCCTGCGGGCACACCTCCGCCTGCACACACTCCCAGGTGCTTGCGCACACACACACATTCATGTGCACAAACATAAATGCAGACACACACCTGGTTGTGCTTTTAAGGCATACCCATGTGCACGCACCACTCACAGCACTATGTCAATATTGAGCGTGTGCCAGGGCTAAATATACCTTGCTGCCCAAATCACACATGTTACATACAAACCGCACATAAAATGAATTCTTTTTTGGCCACTATTCGAAAAGTGATGAAATAGATCTAGTGGGTTGTCCAGCTCTTCAAGTTCCCATTGCAAATACACTTATGTTGTTTTTGTGCTTGTGAAGCTGACACATTTCTCTTTGATTTTTGGTCTTGTTCTCTGTAGGCAACCCATACAAAACAACGGAGTTTGTCTCCAAAATTCACGTGTGGTTACAAGATGTTGACCCTGTTCGGCTTCGTCGTCTAGTTCAAGAAGAGGGACTACTCAGCTTTGGCCAACTGAAACGTTTGAGGAAGATACAAGACCAAAAGGGCACGGCTGAACACAATGAAGAATTGATTTCAATACTTTTTGCTGGAGAAACTGAATCCTATCTGGTCTTATGTTCAGCAATCCGCCAGATGGGCTACACTGCCCGATACTTGGAGATGCTTCGTATTGTAGCTAATCCAGAGCAAGGTGATACTTGATGCTGTTTTGATTAGTGTAGTGAACGTTCTGTAAATTATCAGCAGTCTGTGCATGTTACCCTGTGTATGCCTTATACCTGTGTTCTGCACACAATGCAAGCTCTATCAACTAACAGCACAGAAGAAAATTTCCATTGCTGGTCTCTTTAGCCTTGTAGTGTATTTCCGTTCTGGTTAGGTAATGGGTGGCCAGCAGATCATTCACAAAGTATAAAAAGGCTAGGGTATGGCCACACCAATCAAGAAACTGCTTCTGCCAGTCCTGTGGTATCGGATTAGACATTGGTATCGGTGAGTCGTGGCGGTGGCAGTCAACTCTATGAAGCTTGGGAATAGAATAATTATTATGATGTCATGACTGTGGGTTTTTCTATTTTCCTTCTTTGAATTTATTTTGTCCCGTGACCAGAATTGCTGTCCAGTGTTGGGCAACCAGAATCAGCCGACGCCATAGCAACCAGAGCAGACCCACCTGTAACCAAGCCAACTGAAGACTGCACGACAGCAGCAGCTGCATCAGCAGGATATCCAGCGTATCAATCCACTCCAGGGGCAACGAGTCCATCGCCACTTGGACAGCAAGTAGCACCACTGTGTCCACCGATGAAAAGCAGAACTGCAGCAGCAAGACCAGGAGCAGAAGGAGAAGCAGCGGGAGCAGCAGCAGCAGCTACAGGGGCAATGGCAGGAGCAGCAGATGCAACGGCAGGAGCAGCAGCAGCAGCAACGGGAGCAGAAGCAGCAGCAGCAGCAGTGGCAATGGCAGGAGTAGCAGAAACAGACGCAGTAGCTTCGTCAGCAACTGTATTAACCCCTGAAGCGTCACTCCAGGCAAGGCTTCCAATTGGAACAGCAATGTCAGAACGAGCGTGTGGAGCAACAGCAGAGTCAGAACTAGGAGCAACAGCCACAGTATCAGCTGTACCAGCACTAAATCATTGCAATTATTCAGGTGAGTTTTGCTTGCATTATAGTTGACATTCGAAGGGGACGTGACAGGAAACAATGTATGATGCTAAGGGAAGTTGCGGGGATGGTCATGGTCGCAAAGGACTACATGTACATCGACCATGAATGCTAGAAACAGGAATGCAACCGCATTACCGTACACTGTGTATTATCGTATTACTGTACACTGTGTATTATTTATGTCTGATTAGGGATAGTCCAGGAGTGTGTCAGACGACGTCATAAATCAATTCCTATGGTTACCATTTGAATAATGAAAAACAAGAATTTAAAAGGCATTGAGTCAACTGATCATGGGCCACAGCTTTGTGCCTCGTGATGAGGTATGTTGGCTATTACAATAGAGGCTGCATGTCATACTGTACAGACAGGAAGACAGTCTACAGGTCACCCCAGCCATCCATACAGTTTCTATATTCCGTTCATCAGCTTTATGGTGAATGTGAAATCGACTTGAAACACTGGTATGCGCTGACGTGTCACGGCACCAGTCTTTCACCGCAGAAACATTCATAATCAATGGGATTTGATGTATGAGTGTTCGCACGCTCATACAAATGTAGCAACCTGAAATCTGATAATCGGTTTGTGGATGCGGACGGAGACTCCCTCGATTTAGGCTGAGGCCTGTGGGGAATCCATAAATACAAATACAAATACATGTCTGTGTGTGGTGTACTTGTGGCAGGTGCACAACCACCTCTTGCTCTGCAGCCCGGTGCAGCCTTAGCTTGCTCCTCCACTGGTAGACCACCATCATCAATGTCAGGTCCTTCTACTACGGCAGAGACTACAATTGGTCTTAGCCAGACCTGTATGAGTGCATCCACCCAAGCCACTACAACACATCCCATCGCTAGCTCAGCTAACACTAGCACTGGCAGCTTTACAGCTGATGGTAATGCTGCTAGGAGAGGAACTGCATTGCAGCAGAGTACACAGCAACCAGCGTCAGTCCACCTTGAAAATGCGGCACAGCTGGCAGCAGCTGCAGCAGGGAGACATGCTTCTTCACTGCCTCTCGAGCCACAAGCCAAGAGGGCCCTACTTAGCAGTGTTGGTAGAGCATTCACCGAGGAATTGTCCAGGCATATTGACTATGTGTCAGCTCCAAGTATGGCTCATACCAGTCCAGGTAAGCGGTATGTCCTTGGAAGCTTGTATACCTGTTATCTACAATGTGCATGTGCCAGTGGAAGTTATTGAATATGAAAGGGTTTCTGTATGAAACATCATTTCGCACCGAGTTCAAACTTTGTATGTGCATCATGTTTAGAAAGTAGCTGTTCTACGGTTGCAGCTGAATTTCCATTTAAGCCAGCTGTGTCGTTTGGATACACTCACACCTCTCTTATCCGTGCAGTCTGGGGGAGGGGGAGGGGGAGGGGAGGGGGAGGGGAGGGGGAGGGGAGGGGAGGGGAGGGGGGGGAGGGGAGGGGAGGGGAGGGGAGGGGAGGGGAGGGGAGGGGAGGGGAGGGGAGGGGAGGGGAGGGGAGGGGAGGGGAGGGGAGGGGAGGGGAGGGGAGGGGAGGGGAGGGGAGGGGAGGGGAGGGGAGGGGAGGGGAGGGGAGGGGAGGGGAGGGGAGGGGAGGGGAGGGGAGGGGAGGGGAAGGGGGAGGGGAGGGGGAGGGGAGAGGGAGAGGGAGAGAGCGAAAAGGAGAGAGAGAGGGAAAAGGAGAGAAAGAGAGAGAGAGAAATGGAGAGAGAGAGAGAAAAGGAGAGAGAGAGAACAGGAGAGAGAGAGAGAAAAGGAGAGAGAGAGAAAGGGAGAGAGAGAAAAGGAGAGAGAGAGAAAAGGAAAGAGAGAGAAAAGGAAAGAGAGAGAAAAGGAGAGAGAGAGAGAGAAAAAGAGAGAGAGAATTTTTTTCTCTGCACAGAGGAAGTATTATTGTGTGTGAATTTACTCATATACATTCTCTCTAACTTTAGTTGCCATAATTGGTGACCTGACTTCACAGAACATCAGTAAAGAAGAGTTCACACTTTGTGCACAAGTGACTGTTTCAATGTGACTGCTCTAATTTGCCATGCTGTATGATTCAGATTCCCAGGCCTCTCTGCTGCACAAGTCTCAGTCCCTCCTGGACAGCCCCGAAATGTCTGAAGGTGACTCAGGGTTGTCCGGCTCTTCTACTAGCTCAGACACCGAAGGTAAGGTATATAGGGCATGCCTTACATGGGCAGTTAGGACATGTTGGATTGTGCAAATCCGTGGGCCTGGGATCCGGATTCGCAATCTTTGGACCTGTTTTATTGCTAGAATCCGGATCCAGGTGGCATGGATTCAGATCTGGTCAACCCACGGTTGTACGGTCGCTACTCAGGTTTACAATATGTGCCTCAGCCCTTAGGGTCAAAATTTTCAAAATTCCTTTTTGGTTAGAAATTTGTTGAAACACATCTACTGAAGGACCTCAGCCAAGAAAAAGTTCAATATTACGATTCAAATGGGTGTATACACCAATATACAAGATGTACTCCCAATTGGTGCAACGTATGTATATGATGTATGTGTACAATGAATATTCAGCATTCTAAGGTGGATGGGCAGCTTGAATACCTTTGAAATAGTTGAAATAGTGCAGTAAGCAGCTATAATGAAAGAGAATAGCTGATGAGTGCGGAGAGATGATCGACATATTCGCAGCTGCGTCCTGCGTGGAGTCGTTCCGCAATCTCGTCTTCCATTTCTTCCTCCATAGCTGAAGACACGACGTCGCTGCCGTCACTAGCCTCAGACTCAGAGTTTATCTCAGTTGACGACTCCTTATCTTCCGACTCTGACAAGTCATCGGCCACCTTGAGCCGCATCGCAGCAGGAGATGGCGGCTGCGATTCCGCCTCCCTGTCGACATCGATGTCAGAACCAAAGAACGTCTCATCCTTACTCTGAACTTCAGCGGCTACTTCACCACCCACACCCCATCAAGCTCGAGCTAGCTGTACACAATGACTGCCATGTGTGCTCAGCGAATAGCTCTGGCATTCGCTGCCATTGCAACAAGATCAAGGAACACTGGAGTCGCCACTCGACACCACTTCTTCGAAAAAATTACTTCAAGCAAGGAGTGCAAGAAGAACTCGTCGCGCTGTTCGCAGCGCGATCAAAACAAATCGTTGAACGTCACAAATCGACCTTTTTATCGAAAAAATACGAAACCTCTAAGGGTCGTTTTCGCTGATTGCGGCTCATGTATTGACTGTGAATGTTTGTTGTGATTTCTTCCATATCAATTCCTCAACAATGTGTAGGGCCAGAATGGACAGAAAATGATCTGCGCAATGCTCGAGTTACGGTCTTTTTGGACAGCAAACTGATGACATCTGTGGATAACTGTGATGGAATTATCTTGGACAGTTTATGCAAGCAGCACCTCAATAAAAATAATGTCAGAATCAAGTCGAAGAGCAGAATAACTGATCCTGCACTCACGCGAGTGGAAAGAAAAGGTTTGAAATATCCCGTTCTCTACCTCTTTCATGTTTAAAGGGGAAGTTAACCCTTTACCGGTCTATCATAAGCGTACCGATACTATAGTATCGGTACGTTTGGCCCTCATTTTTTGGGGGTCTTGTTGCTAGGAGACAGCTAAAATGGCGCTCTACGCATAGCTGAGGTCCAAGGCTTTCTGACAATGTGCAAAACAACCATGCTTACCATACACGCTTTTAGTGACATTTTGCATACAAATCCCCATCTAGTAGGGCACAGTCAGCCAGTTTCGGTGGAAGTGCGCGAGTTCGATTGGGATTCAAGTAGGAAGGGAGCGTCTCAGCTTTCTCGGACCAAGACCATTCAACTCAGCGCTCCCTTCCTACTTGAATCCCAATCGAACTCGCGCACTTCCACCGAAACTGGGTGATTGCGCCCTACTAGATGGGGATTTGTATGCAAAATGTCACTAAAAGCGCCATTTCGTTTATGTAAAAGCACGGATGACCGCGATTGGCCCATATGGTGTAGTCTTTTGGACGCTGAGTCGACTGGTTTTGGCCGAAAAGGCTGCAATGCAGCGTTCCTCCTTTATTCCCAATCGAACATGGTTGAAGAAGCGGTCACGTGCTCCTGCGTACACCAGTCACCCTGTCACCGTGCCTGCAGGGTACAACTTACTAGCCTGTTTGACCTTTTTTGGGTGCAGTCCTGTCACTCGAGTTGAACCTTGGTATGAAAGTTGTCGCCTGCTGGCGTGGTGACCAGGTGATTTGGGCACCCAGGAGCACGTGACCACTTGTTCAACCATGTTCGATTGGGAATAAGGGAGGAATGCTGCATCGCAGCCTTTTCAGACCAAAACCAGTCGACACAGCATCCAAAAGACTACAACATATGGGCCAATCCCGGTCATCCGTGCATTTATAAGAACGAAATGGCGCTTTTAGTGACATTTTGCATACAAATCCCCATCTAGTAGGGCACAGTCAGCCAGTTTCGGTGGAAGTGCGCGAGTTCGATTGGGATTCAAGTAGGAAGGGAGCGTCTCAGCTTTCTCGGACCAAGACCATTCAACTCAGCACCCCGAAGACTACAACTGGTGAAATTTTAATTTTTGCCTTAACTTCCCCTTTAATTGAAAGTGAACAGCTAAGAAGGCCAAATTCTACTCCTGTACCCAGAAACAGGCTGTTAGACCAATACTTTAGTGTCTGCTCCATGATTTCAAACCAACTATGTACATGTGTACCTGATACAACTCTTGCAACCTGGCCAGAGCCGGGTACGTTTAAGTATGGCTACTGCATGTGCACTGATCGAAGCATGGCTGGTGGTAGTAGATATACATAATCATCTTGTACATCATCTTGTACATCAGTCAGGCATCTGCAGAGAGGGAAAACTGCATGATGGCGCTTTGAAATCACTGTGTACATCAAGTCGACGGGAAAACACAAATTCAAGCATTGCAAGAAGTTGTTGTATCCATGCAATCAGTACCCAGACTCAGAAGTTACTAAGAGCGGTACAGACCACACATAAATGTAGCCATCTTCACGATGAGCTCAGCGCCACCCATGTGCCAACCAGAATTGCTGCTGGCTTAGGTGTCTGGGCGGGCATGTGCGTGTGCAGACCTACATTACTCTTAATGCATGTTTATATGGTTGTGATGTTTGTATGTGAGCATGTGTCTGTTTGTGTGTGTGTATGTGTGTTGGTATGTGAGCATGTGTCTGTTTGTGTGTGTGATGTGTGAGCATGTGTCTGTTTGTGTGTGCGGCCATGCATGTGAATCTACATGTGTCCTGCAGGAGGAGATATTAGGACATTGGTCCAAATCATCATCAACGGAAAACCTGATGACTACACTAAACATAGGATCCGAAGGGAAGTGATTGAGGACCTGGAGGACCTTACCTTCTCCAAGGATAAAATTCAGGTCATCTACACAGGCGCCTGGGATTCTATCCAGGTGGTACTGCTGCTACCAATGAGGACACTGGGTCATCTACTCTACCTTGCAGTACACTATCCTGGACTGCTGCGAGGCCTGGGTATACTTCAAATCATCGACATCTCCTCATTGACCATAATTGACTTTCGAGAGATAACAGGCATGTTGCTATACTATCATGTGCTGTGTGTCTTTCTATATGTGTGTGTGTATGTGTTGGTGTGTGTTTGTATGTGTGTGTATGTGTATGTGTGCGTGCGTGCGTGCGTGCATGTGCGTGCGTGAGTCTCGTGCCGAGTGGAGGACAGTATACACCTGGACAGAGGGTGATGCATCTTCTTCGCACAGCATGTTTAGTGGTGCAGCTGCTGCTGTCAACTGCTCTTTGTGTGAGAGGACTTTCTTGCGCCGCCAGGATCGTGCCAGGCACTGGTGCACTGCAGAGCTTGCAGTGCAACAACAGCGTGGATAATGCCAGTTTGATCGCTGTGGCAGTTGGTTCTTAAGGTGCCTCGTACCTAAAACGAAAACTAGTCCTTTAAGCATCCTTGTGCCCAGGTTTGGAGTATAAATATTTCGACTTTTTGCCCCCGCGGGTTCGAGCCTCCCCGGTGAAAACTCTTTTTTTTCGGTACTGCCTTTGACAAGAGTAGCTTCTATAATCGACTCCAAAGGAATGTTCTGGTGGTAACAGAAACATGAAACTTGACAATAAATGCCAGGCAGTTTTTCATCAATCAAAGGAGCATCCTTACCAAATTTAAAGGAAATCCATAAAGCAGGTCCAATTTTATTGATGGCAGTAACATGTAAATTTACCCCCAAATCGACAAATTGAGAGCACTTGACAGTATGCTTTTGGTTACTGTACGGGGCTATACCTTTTCAGGCCCTTCCCATTACTATCTAAGTATACCTCTGCATAATTTCAATGAAATTTATTGGGCCATTGTGTTTTACTATTGTTGTGAACCCTCTGGTTCTCTAAAGTGTCAGGAACGAACGACCCCACACGGCACGAGGACAACTATTTATTCTCAACAGTATATTTCACTTCCATCGACTAATAACAATGAACAATGAATGAACAACTGAATGAACAACACTATACCCACCAGGTAGTTATAGCGTGAAAATGACAGTGTATATAAGAAAAGCATACGCATACAACATACAAGTACAGCGCACACAGCAAACCACACTTAGCGTATGTAGCGTATACTACGTCGTAATCATCAGCGGTACGGCGGAGCCGGGATACAACTGCATTGACACGAACACAATGTCACAAGCGAGAAGGCCTTTCACTCTCGAGAACTTGTGGTTTCACAACATTCTCCCCACCAAAGGGCTTCTCACCGCCGTACAACAACTCACAAGTCAAACGATTTGGGGCTTACTACGCATCATCTGCTGCTGCGGTGGTGGCCATGGTAGAATATCACTAATGCCCACCAATTCAGAAAACTCGACATCGCGAAGCTTGCCGCTGTGGGCTGTCGCACACGACACTGTCACCGATCCACTTCGACATGGGGCAGACGCTGGACCAGCCAACACACAACCGATAATGTCATAAAGCTCGACGATGTGGGCTGTCACACACGACATGGTCGCCGGTACACTGCTTCGACCCGGGGCGGGCGCGGAATCCGAGGACACACATCGGATCTCTGTGTTCCACACAGTCTCGCCGCTTACTTCTTCCGTGCTAACCAGTAGTATCGCCCTTCTCATTTTCTCGGCTTCTACGCCTTGCGTTTCTAAGTCTTGCGCCTCCAACTCTTGCGCCTCTACTTCTTGCGCCTCTACGTCGTTCGGCCGAGACTCCAGCTGCTTCTGAGCGTCTCCGACCGATGTCGCCATGCTCTGTACCGACGCAGTGGGCCTTGGATCTGATCCTCCCACTGGCTTCAAGTACTCTTCTGACCGCTGCTTGTCTGTAAGCAAAGTCTTACACGCCTTGTCCGGCGGCCTTCCGGGCGAGGCAAGCAAATCTCGCTTTGCTCCCTCATATTTACTGCTGGCGATGCGCTCGTTAATCTTCTTGAGCTTTTCGTTAAACTCTGTGCGGAGCGCACCCTCTTGCCGTCTAGCATTGCGCTCTTCAAACTCCTCGCTCTGTCGGAGCCTCTTCTCCACGTATTCTCTCAACCTATCGCCTTCAAATCCATACCGAATTCCGTTAGCGATAAAGCTGGCTTCAATGATCCATAGTTCATGTGCCATGCTCGCTTCGTATCCTGGCGTGGTCGCCAAATGTTTTGAACCCTCTGGTTCTCTAAAGTGTCAGGAACGAACGACCCCACACGGCATGAGGACAACTATTTATTCTCAACAGTATATTTCACTTCCATCGACTAATAACAATGAACAATGAATGAACAACTGAATGAACAACACTATACCCACCAGGTAGTTATAGCGTGAAAATGACAGCGTATATAAGAAAAGCATACGCATACAACATACAAGTACAGCGCACACAGCAAACCACACTTAGCGTATGTAGCGTATACTACGTCGTAATCATCAGCGGTACGGCGGAGCCGGGATACAACTGCATTGACACGAACACAATGTCACAAGTGAGAAGGCCTTTCACTCTCGAGAACTTGTGGTTTCACAACAACTATAGTGTTTTGGTCCACCGCACACATCAGCCAATATTGGATTCAGTAAGCCGTGCTCCTAGGTACTTCACCTTGATTCAATGTCAAATATGTAATGTTTAGCATATGAAGCACATAGCTGGCAGTACTTCTTGAAGAAATGAAGAAAGTCTATCGGGCCAATTTCGGGAAGCACCCCGCGGAGTCCCGATATTTGCATTCCAAACCGAATGAGATTGTTAGTGTGGGCAGCCAAGAACCCTGAAAAGAAAGTCCAGCCACCCTATTTGGCTTGGCTTCACTGCAGAACTCACCACTCAGATACCTGAAAAGAAAACTAGAGTAAAACCTGTAACTAAAGACCACCGTGACTAGCGACCAGCCTGGTACTACAGTAAAACCTGTAACTAAAGACCACCGTGACTAGCGACCAGCCTGGTACTACAGTAAAACCTGTAACTAAAGACCACCGTGACTAGCGACCAGCCTGGTACTACAGTAAAACCTGTAACTAAAGACCACCGTGACTAGCGACCAGCCTGGTACTACCGACCACTTCGCCAGGCACGGACGGTCTTACATTCAAAATGCACTGTGACTAGCGACTACCTGCTGAACGCGACCAGCGACCGCCTTTTCTTGTCCCAAACACGATTTTTTACCCGTAACTAGCGACCGCGATGTAGGAAATCAAATGTTGCTAAAAGCTCCTTCTTGAAATTTTGTTGATTTTCCATGGTCCTGAAAGGAATCTTTCGGTACTACAGCTCAATAAATGAACGCAGGCAATTTTGACTGTCGGTTGGACTCCACTACACTTGTCAGAATTTCAAGCGCTGTCAAGAATAAACATGATAGGAAACGTCTTGGAGAGCGCATCGAAAGCGCTCTCTGCTCGATGTTACTACTCTGAGGAGAAACGAAGACTGAGCGGCTCTGTCACCCCAGTCATACAAACGAATCGACGATGGCGTCAAGAAATCCAGAAACAAAGCAGCACCGCATGGTCTTGATGCTGAAGGATCGTGTTCAAACAATCGAGAAGTCACAACAAGGATAGTCGGTACGATTGATTGCATGAACAAATTTGAAGCCCAGCGCAAAACGAAACTTCTGCAGGGAACATTTGACTCCTGGCTTCAGAAGTAGCAGCTGAATTTGATGTCTTGAAAAAAATTAATCTTCTCTCTCTTTTTGTCTCTCTCCGTCTCTCCGTCTTTCTCTCCAAGTGTTGTTTGACCTGAAATAAGAATGGTATTGCGCAAGTCCTCGGGAATTGTATTAGCTGCATTTTGATATACATATCATATAATGGGATCCATATATGGTCGCACGGTGCAAACCTCTAACTAAAGACCACCTGCTACTAAAGACCGCTTTTGCTGGCACCAAGGGAAGGTCGGTAGTCACAGGTTTTACTGTATAACATTTATTTTGAACAATACAACAGTAGAGGCAAAATGCTGGGATGTGCTTTTTGTGCAAAATGCAAAATACCAGAAATTTTATATCGGGTTTAAACTATGAAGAAATGTTTAAATTTATAGAAATAAAAAGACCAAGGAACTAAAAGTTATGGAATAATGTCCACTAACACCACCAGTTACTAAACAATCACTGAATCATGGAGAGCCTACCCTGTGCAACGTAACAGTGTCACGGCCAAGCTGCGGTCCGCGAAGTCTGACTATGTGCACGGATACCTAGTAAGAGAGGACACGGTGGATGAGCACGGTGTGGCGTTCAATCGCCGCAACTTGTTCAATGTGATGTCCCTCCTTAGAACCTCAGTACAGCGTGGCGTTCCCGACTTGGAATGTGATGGGAACACCATTAGCTCTGACCTCGACAAGGCTACAACCTTCAACAGCTTCTTCGTTGAGCAGAGCAGGCAGTCACTCCATGGGTGCACCGGCCCTCCTCCTCCCATCCACACGCCAAGGGTTACTGACAGGACACTCCAGGATGTCACCGCCACTGAAGTGGAGGTACTCGAGCTCCTTCGTCACATTGACACCAACAAAAAGCGCCGGCCCGGACGGAATCCCATCTATTCCTCTGAAGCTCACTGCCGACCGCATCGCCCCTTCCTTAACAATAATTTTCAATCACTCCTTCACCCACGGACAGGTCCCGAGAGACTGGCGAGATGCCAGGGTGTCTCCAATCTTCAAGAAGGGCAGTCGAGCCTGTCCCACAAACTATCGTCCTATCTCCCTCCCACCCGTCGTATCAAAACTGCAAGAAAGAAACGCCCACAAAGCTCTCTACAGGCACATCCAACCCCATCTCCCTCCAGAACAGTCAGGCGTCAGGAAGAACGACAGCACAGAGTACCAAATAAGCCGCCTGCTGCACGAACTTGCTGCGGACCTTGAGGTCAAAAAGTCAGTCCACGTCTGCTTCTTTGACCTCTCTAAGGTCTTCGACCGCGTGTGGCACCGTGGCCTCTTGCACAAGCTTGAACACCATGGCGTAAGGGGTGCAGCACTCTGCTGGTTTGAGAGCTACCTCCTGGGCCGGAGGCAGCGGGTCCGAATCAGAAGCA